TGTGTGTGTGTGTGTGTGTGTGTGAGTCATCGTGCTGCCGAGGTTTAATTGACCAGCCTTGTTGCCATGCCAACAGGGGTGTGGCAGGAGGCTGCTGACCCACTTTGCCTGTAGTGTTGTCATGGCAGCAGCACAGCTCTGCAAGTGTTACAGTCATACTAATGCTCATACACGTGCTGTATTTTCATACAGTGATGGACACAAACACTCAACGAATACACCTACACAGCATCTATTTGCGTTGAGAAAAAGTCTGGTTTGTGAGAAATGATCAGTGCACAGATATAGAATGTGGGCCAGTAACAGGGGAACAAAACTAGCTGTGATGCCCAGTAAGAAGGTACAATTTTGCATTTACTGACTTCATTTAATGCCTTAATTGTTCACAAGTCACACGCTCAGTGTATTTATGCAAGAGTCAAATATGGATTTTAACTTTATTTTTACACATAAAGAATATTGATTCAGGCTACATTTGGGTGACGGTTCTGAGGCACGAATGTGTTTGATATTGTTAGGGGCTTTTGTACAGAGTGCACTTAATCAAAATAATTTTATATATCTGCAGTTGTGTATGTGTATTTCTTTCATTTCTGACACTGTGTGTGCGCGTAAGTATTTTTAAGCATGTATCCTGAATTTTAGTCATGTTATAATCCTTGTTCCATTTCCATATTTGGGCTTAAAATGCAGTAAAGGTCCATTGACTTGGTAAAATCTTGGACAAGCTTAACACTAAAGGAACTGCATATAGCCTATACAGTATATGTGGCTATTTTCCTTTCTTAGAAAGAGGTAACATATTTACACATAATATGACATAATTCATCCATCTGCTGTCTCATCGCACAAAGTTGTAATATTCACACTAAGCTGGTTAGTGTATCAGTGCAAGGCTTTCTACTTTATAACACAGGTTTGCACCGTGTCCTGTCTGTCAAAAAAGAGATGAGCCATCATTTGTTCCCCAGCCCACAGCCCCATCATGACAAAGCAAAAATATGGGATCATCTGGTCATTTTTTGTTGCCTGTAGTAGAGTAAATAGCAGAAGGCCGACAGAGCAATACATCTGTGCAAGTGAATCAAGTAACGGGAGTTATCATGAATTAAACCGAGCAGCAATTAGAGAGAGGAGAAGTGACACCCTAGTGACATCAGTTATGTTTTAGTGATGGATGTCAGAGCTGCAGCAAAGCAAATGATTATAATTACTGATTATAGCTGATATTGTAAAACGGTGCACTGGTCACTGACTTGACATTTACCTGTCAGCACATTTAAAGTAGAACATGTAGTAAATTGTGAGTAGTTACATTTTATTAAAAAATACTTATACTATAAAAATGTTTTAAAGAAAAACTCATACAACTCTCTTTTTTTAGTGAGACAATATTTCTGTTAACATAGTTAACTAGTGTAGCACTCAGGAGAATACGTAACCACACGAAGGCCCAACAATACACTTGATTATCAAGTTCTTATAGTAGAAATATAAAAGAAAAAAAGAAGTGTTCTGATAACCCAAAAATATTATTTTTCATAATATATATATATATATAATATAAACATAGTTAGAGAAAGTGAAAAATCTGCAAAAGAATATAATGGATTTTTCCCCAGCCCAGGCCCTATCCCTGGTGTGAATTGGTTTTGTGGTTTTGTGTATTGTAGTAAATAAATGGACCATTGGCGAAAACATAAGCTTTATATAAGTACATAATTATATACAATGCCATTAAATTGTAGTTTCCAAGCATGAGACTTAACATCTGTAACGCTACAATTACAAACTCTAATGATTTTTAGAGGCATGCACACTTGCCAGGAGAAACAACACATTTTTATTTAAGTTTTTCTTTCATTCTAGCCTTTATCTGGTTGTCAACTGCAAAGTATGACACAGTAGTTCCAAATCAACAATTAAACAAAGGACACTGCTGTTATGTAGCATATGCTCTAACCATTCAGCCAACAGAATGCTCCAGCTTCAACCCACAAACATTTAAGTAGATAAGTCCATTAAGTAACCTGTAATTCGCAGTTAAATTCATGAACAGAATGCTATTTATCTTTATTGTAACTGTGTGAATGGAGAACTTGAACAACTTTAAGATGAGCAGGAGAGAGATAAACTTTGGTCATTAAGGCACAGATTAATTTGGAGAGCCTGTATAAAATGGTACAAACTGGAAACACTACCAAGACGTCACACTGGCAGGCCAGGTGATTAAACATTGGTATGGCATAATTCATATGGAATGCCGTTTTAATCAAAATAAAATAAATAAATAAATAGGTAAATAAATAGATAAATTAATCTGACTATGAAATAAACCCTGAAATAAAAATATATGACAATAAATATATAAATGTAGCATAATATAAATATATAACTGAATCCACTAAGTTAAATAAATACAATTACTTATTTAAAAATGTTTTTCAAAAGACAACATTTATTTATTTCATGGTGAGAAAGATAATACTGGCCTTAGCTGTTCAAATTGATCAACATGGCTTGTCAGGGGACACCATTTTGGCACGCACTGAAGACTTTGTAGATGTACTTGGGTGGATAAGTGCTCTACAGAACATTGACATGAATGAGGAAGTCTTGTATTGTTTGAGACTTATCAAGCACCGTGTTTGTGTGCAAGATGTATAGGAAGTAACCTCTAGCACAGGTGCTGGAAGCCCGGCTCCTGATGTTCCAGACGATGTGCTCACTACCTTTGTCTTGTAGGAGATCTTGGGCTTTGGGTGCCCACTTTGGCAGCTGTAGGGGCTGACTGCCGCGTCGCCATCCCATCAAGGGAGTTTGCAGCCTCTCTCAATAATTCTGAGGTGCTCTGCTCTGAGTCAGACATTGCTCCTTGCACACACATGCTTTGGTCTGACGATAACCATGCCTCTTCATTTGCATATGAGAATGGAAATAAATGTGGCATTATGAAACAAATGTGGCATTTTGAAATAAAAGTTCCATGAAATAAATAAATGTGCCATTATGAAATAAAAGTTCCATTAAATARATAAATGTGCCATTATRTAATAAAAGTCCCATGAAATAAATAAATGTGGCATCATGAAATAAAAGTCCCATGAAATAAATAAATGTGCCATTATGTAATAAAAGTTCCATGAAATAAATAAATGTGCCATTATGTAATAAAAGTATTGTGAAATAAATAAATGTCGTTTTTTGAAAAAACATTTTGAAATAAGTAATTGTATTTAATTTTAGGTAAATGGATTCAGTTATATAATTATATTATGCTATATTTATTTTCAAGGCTTAGTCTTTTTGCTTTGAAGAGTGATCTGAAAGTACCTGGGCTTTGGTGAAAGAAAATTTGTGTATGTTCTCAGCAAATACCATTGCCATTCTGTTATAATAGTCTTTAATATCTCAGTACAAATATCTAATTTTGTCCTGATGGTGGCGCAGGAGGGACGCTCCTGAAACATCCCGTATGTAAAAGGTTAATCTGCCAGACATTAAAGGGGAAGTTCATTTTTTTTTCAACCTGGTCCTTATTTCCAGCATATGATATGTAGATCTACTCACCCATAAAGGTTTGGAGTAACTTGGAGTCCTTCGGACGCTTCTAGATCCACACGCGATCAACGTATATCCATACAATGCAACGGTTCGGGGCATCCCACAATACAGCCTCTAAATAACATATTATCTGCCGTGAAACTCTTTATTTACTATGAATCGCCAGCACTAGTCCCCTGTGAGTCTCGCCAGCCTCGGAGCTAGCGTTAGCTTAGCGAATCGAGAGCGAGTTGTCTTCCTGTTTAATCAACAAATCGGTTCGCTAAGCTAACGCTAGCTCCGAGGCTGCTCGTTAGCCCGCTGAAGTTAGCTAGCCTTTAACTGGGTGAATACGCCCGAGCACCAGGACACAGCTGCTTTAAAAGAATACTGTACTGTAAAGCACCTGATAAGTGTTCTGCCATGTTATGCAAAACTAGCAGCAGCAAACTCTGTGTAAACAAACACAGCTGATCGTCAGCTGAGTTGTGGATGCCCCAGTCACTTGCCTTGTATGGATATACGCCGATCGCGTGTGGATCTAAAAGCGTCCGAAGGACTCCAAGTTACTCCAAACCTTTATGGGTGAGTAGCTCTACATACCATATGCTGGAAATCAGGACCAGGTTGAAAAAAACCGAACTTCTCCTTTAATGTGCACATTAAATGATATAGAGACCTATCACTGTGTTTTGATATTTTATGTTTAAATCAAAACTTGGGCTGATGTTGGTAAAATAAATGTAAATTCAGAAACTGTCCATATGATGTTGGTGCAACCAACTATAGCAAATGTTTGTATTGCATTCAGATTCAGATTGCCTTCATTGTCATTGAACTTGATTCAACGAAATTTACATTGCTAAGCCCCCGTGGTACAACATAAAAACAACATGTCATAACACAAGACAATAAATAAAATATATACAATAAAAAATTCAGGGTTGGGGATGTCCATGTCCACTGACCACCACCAGCTAGCGAGCTAACAGTTCACAGTAAAGCTAATGATCATCTCTTGTGTTAGTGAAAAGTGATTCAATTAACTTCAGCGAGAGGAAAAAGGAAAAAACCCTTGTCAATTGCTTCATTCTCTCCAGTATCTCTTTCTCCTGTCTCTCCTCCTTCCTGATCCTCTCACCCTCTGTAGGCCTGCTTAGTCAATTTGTATCGACTTGTTCCTCCCTCCATTAAGTTCCTTTATATTAGTGGCCATATAATGGAAAGGATATAAGGCACAAGGGACACTCTCGGCTATCCCACTAACCTCTATAATAATTCAGAAATTAATTTTACAATCTACATGACTTACAAATTACCCAAAAACTTTGGGTACACATTTTCATTTCTGTAGGTTAAGAAAGTGGCATTCCTGGATAAACCACAGATTTTATGCTGTCTGTTTTTTATTACTTCTTTTATTTTATACCTAACCTTCTTCTTCTCTTTGTGAATACATTTCCTTCATGCTAGCATATTTAAAGGTTGCAGTGAGTCAATCTCCACCCTGTTGGTTAAAACTTAAACATTTTCTTTGATACATCATGAAGTGATTGCTTTTATGGCTCCTGTTTAACTGATCCTAATTTAACAAAAGTTTAAAAAAAGTTTCTCCAAAGAACTGTGTACAACAAACTCTAGCCTGACAAACAAAAGCTCAACAACAGACAGATCAAATAGGAATAAATGCAGCTCTCAGAGCTATTGACCTGGTTTGTTTCAGGATTTTTGTCATCCATCCATCTATTTTCTAACGCTTATCCTTCTTTAAGGGTCATAGGGGGGCTGCCAATCCCAGCTGACTTAGGTGAGAGGCAGAGTACACCCTTGACAGTTTGCAAACAGTGGTGTAGTGCAGGGTATATGCAGGTAAAAGGCGTACAGCCACTTATTTTTCAATCAACATAGGGTACAATCCCTTCTGAATCACCTCTGGTGCGCATTAATCAGTAGCAAGCCTTTTTTCCTAGGATAGCAAAAGCTTAACCCGCCTTACTCTGTCTCTGATTGGTTTGGTTTGTTGGGGTAGGTATGAGAGTGGTGATTGGTTAGTTATGACAAGAATATCAGAGTAAGCCAATCATAGGCAGAGTAGGGCAGGTCACGTCTTTGTTTCTCTTCCTGGAAAAAAGATATCACCTGCTCCTTACCTGACCACCTGACCAAAATCATTAAAAACATGCAGCTAAATTAGGCCTCTGATGAAATTTAAACATAAAGAGAGCAAACCAAAGAAAACTTTTAACAGAAAAGTCCTTGTGCTGCTACCTTGGTAAGGCTTGCCAGCAGCTCAGGTAGTGATGGTAGTTCAGCTCCAGCACTGGTACATTCTCACTTTACCTCCATCTCCCAACCCTTTCAGAGTAGATGTTGATTGTGATAGAGATTTTGCTTCTTGTATAACAATTTAAAGTGGCAATGTCAACCACAGTGAGTGTTGCTAATTGCCTCATAATTTCATCCTCAAATATTTTTAGTTTTATAATAGGGCACACTCTACACTGCCTGTTGCAGATCAACTGATCCTATCAGGATCTCTGCATTTTCTTTTATTCATGAACCCCTGTTGTTTTTTTTCCTATCTGACTTTGTTCCACTGTGAGTCTCAGGATTCTCTCCGGTCGATTATAATAAACTAGTTACAAGCAGTACCGGTTTAACCAATACGCACACTACGCACGTTGTGTAGGGCCCCGCAATATAATTGAGGCTCCGTGAAAAAAAAAAAAGAAACGTGACGACGTGACCATCCGTTGCGAACGTCAGATTCCCAGTGCATGTGCATCAGCCAAGAAAGATGAAGCGGAGTTATCCCTCGCGGAATGAAAAAAAGAGGAAGAAACTGCATGAAAACGAACTGCAGGAACAGCAGTCAGGTAACTCTCCTCACCGGTGGGAGAGTGGGAGGGACTAGTCCGTGTTTAACCGACATTAACAGGGCGGTGAGCCCTGGGTAAACCCCGGTGTCCATGCGCGTCTTGCTGGCTTCTATAATTTTAGTTGTAGTATAGTTACAACTGCACTTATACAAAATGGAAAGTAATGGATAAATATTGACTAAGATTGAAWTBHKTTTGCTTGGATAGCCCACAGGCAGATATAGATGCAGATATCTTAGTGAATAAATAAAATATTATGACAATGGTGCTAAATAAATAATAATTAAATAATAATATAAACAATCACCTACATTTAAAGTATATGAACGTGCAGCCGATTTGATGGAGCTGAATTGATAGTTTCCTTATCTATATTTTACAGGTGCTATGCTTAAGTTTCTCACAAGCAGCACAGACTCCAGTCAGTCAGCCAGTGTAGGGACAGAGCCAGCTTCATATAGGACAGGCAAAGATGAGCCAGCTTCATTATCCAGTGCAGGCACAGGCGGAGATTAGCCATTTACACCTTCAACCGGCACAGATGAGTCACATGCAGCCGCCTCAGGCAGTACAAGCAGCCCAGGTCCAGTACAGCCAGCCTTGTCAAGTACAGACACAGGGGAAGAACAGGCAGCTTCAGCCACTATTCACACAACCACGTGTGCACAGCAAGCAACAGAATCTAGCTCAAACCCTAAAGCAACAGTCTCTGCTCCACCAAATGATCCAGCAGGCTGGCCTCCAGTCTTAACAGACTGTATGTGGACTGAGTTAGTGTGCAGAGGTCCATTCAAACCAGGAGTGGATTTTTCTTACCCCAAAGACAAGTCCAGAAGAGGGTTCTATCCAGGATTATTACAGAGACGGCTGTCAAATGGTGAAAAGATAACCAGGAGCTGTGTATTGTTTTTGCTGTAAGTTCTTTTCCAAAAAAAACCACAAACACAGAAATGTATTCGATCACCCTGATGTTGTGGGAACATCCTCTAATCGCTTTGTGAATCTTTGTCAGGGGGTGTAGAACCAAATACTCAGTGGTGTTAGTCTCCAGAGATCAACCTACTGATCTTGACTCACTTGTGTCGCTTGCAATCAACATCAACAATTGTCTACAAGAATGTTGTAATGGGTTGTAGCATTGTAACGTCAGAAGGCAGGACAGGCCTCTCCATCCCTGCCATTGAACAACCTCCAGAGGAGCCCGTGCAGGGATAGGTTAGGGAGAGCATGTCTCATTCCCGTGGAGCAACTAGAGAGCATAAGATCTCACAAGTGCCTGTGCTGTAGTCATCTGGGTCACTTTTAGATACAGTACCTGTACTTGAACACACAAAAATACTTTGCCGACCTTCATCTCTACAGATATTACAAGTCTTTGGCCTCG